AAGATTTGCTCTGTAGAATTAAACTTTCTATTTTCATGAATTTTTGTGTACAGTTAAAATTGTGATAGTACAGACACTATAAAAAAAATTAGTTTGATATAAAATAATATTTATGATTTTTAAATTAAATTACATTCTACAGGGTAAATCTTTACTTTAACTAAAAATTAATAATTAATAATGATTTTATATTTTAAAAGACTAAAAAAGTGCTTTGCGCAATAGCAAATTCATGAATCTTGAAATTTATTAGATTTATTAACTTTTGACGTAACTGATCCGTCCAATTCCTCCTTAACTGCTATTTATTATGTGTATAAGTGAGGCCACGCTGAACAAAATTGTGGACAAAATGTTTAGGACGAGAAGGAGAGACTAAAACTAATTAAGGACGTGGAAATGAGATACGTCCGAGCTTGGGAGACGGCACGTCAAGAGCAAAACGTACTGCGTTACAAATTAAAGATGGACGAGCTGGAAAAGACTTTAAATAATTATTACGTACGCGAAAAAAACGAGAATTGCGTGAATAACGAATTAATACGTTATCTGACATGGCGTACAGCGGTGAGCGTAAATTTTTTTGCGATTTTTTCCTCTTAAAATGCATATTAGAAAAGTTTTAGATAAATTGTGTACTCAAATATTTAAGTCTTAAAAGGGTTCGTCGTTAAAATTAAAGCAGACGTTTAAGCCAGTAAATTCTTTTGCGGAAAAGCTGAAAATGTTGCGGAAAAAGATTCTTCTGGAGATTAGAGCGTTTTAAGATTCCTTTTAACGAGTATGTGTGTGTTAACAGAAATTTAGTATTTTTGCTGAACGTTAAGTAATTTAATTGAAATAAGTTTCATCGAGAAAATTTCAACTCTAGCACCCTTACATAGATGACAAAAATATTTGCTTTGAATTTATACAGTTCATCGAGAAACGAATCGAGCGATGGCAGGAGAGGTATGATCGAGAGAAGAAAATGTATGAGAAAGAGATTCACAAATTACGCTATGAGATAGAAGATGCTCGAAAATACTTGGAGCAGCTTACAACGGAGGTAATGATTAGAAAACTACGGCACGGTACGAGAAATATTTTCATTTCATTCCCCGGGCATCAGAAACGGTACAGAAATGTAATTCAATTTGTATTTTGCCGCTCGTTATTTTGGCCACCTCCACTATAAATCTTAATTGCCGGATAAGGAGGATTTTCCGACTAGGCAACAAGCACAATCACAATCTTATTTTGTATTCTCTGTATGACTGCTTAATTTACCGCATCACGTTTCTCGCTATAAGCCTATCGGCAATCGAGCTCGGGTAATTTGGTTCGGCCGAGTTTAAAGGGCGCGCTAAAGTTTTGTCGGTTGATCGATAATTCGCGTCAGGTTGAGACTCAGAAATGTCTCGATGATCATTATTAATAGCCGGTATTCGCGAATCCTAAGCCCCTGAGAGCCTTTCATATACGATACATTTCATATACATTTAAGCTAGGATTTACCCGTTGACCGAAAGTCTATATATACACATTATCTAATTCTCTCAGATTTTTTTTTTTTTTATGTACAGCATAGGAGATGGAATATTTTTTTGTAGTGCAACTGAGAGAGAAAACTCAATTATGAAAAGATTTTACTTCACATTTTTAACTTGCTTTTAAAAAAAGAAATTATATTTTAATACGAATTCTCTATAATTTCTAATAATATATTAATAAATTAATAATACTTGCAATAAATTGAAAAGAACATTTTTAAATCATTTTATATAAATTTCACAAATTTTTATTATTAAATAAAAAACTAACAGATATTATTCATAAACGACAATTAATATATTGTTTTACATTTTAAACTCATTAAACTCATGTAATATTCTAATAATGCATCAATAATATCCGATTTTCTAAAAAATGTTGCTATTTATTCCTTGCTTTTAATCACACACACACACACATATATTGTACAAAATTCATCCTCCTCGTATTGTCTATGAAGGTTTACGACCGTCACATAAAAGAAAAGCTTCATATATTCTATGCTTACTTCTCCGAAGAAGGACACAAAGAGTTTGACAAGATATGCCAGTAAACTCGCACTGAAACACGGTGTTTGTTACAGTACTGCAGCAATCAAGAATTTATCGACACATATCTCGCGGAGCAGGAGGCACTCCGAAGGCAGAAGGAACACGAGGATCACGTGCAACGTTGCACAATCAGGATCCAAGCTTGGTGGCGGGGCGTCATGGTGCGCCGGAAGTTGGGGCCGTATCGACCCGAGGAGAAAAAGAAGAAGCGGCCTGTTAAGACGAAGAAATAACTTCCCTCCCGGCTAAGTTACTCTTAAACATACCGCGTCGACTTTAATTTGTTCAATCTGACAGAACGGACTATTAATCTACAGAGCGATCTAACCAAGGTCACGGATGATTAACCGATTTAACATACCGTGTGTGTGTGTGTGTGATAGTTTTAAGTCTTGAAATTTTAAGATAAATAGTTTTTATTATTTTCATTTATTCAGCAAACTCATCGATGAGTTTCCGGTAGAGAAAGTGCGATTTCTTGTAAGTTATTTTCGTTCCTTGTCGAAAAAAATATTGATTCTACTGATCGAAACTAGAATATCGCGCAACAAAAAAGCAATATATTTTTAGCTTATTTTTTTCCGATTCGTATATTGCTATACGATCTTCGCGAAATCAATGTAAGTACAAACAAACGTATCGCCGCTTCTACTGCATAGTTATTGGAAAGCATGAAATTCTACGTTTGTATCGAACATCGCTAAAAAAAAAAAACAAATCTATTATTTAAAAAGTTAAAAATAATAAAAAATTAATTTGCAATAATTAAAATATAAAGATATTAAAAAAAAAAAAAAAAAAAAAAAATGAAAAAAAGAGAGAAAACAAGAAAAATTGAACGAACGGCGAAATACCGAGACGGCACGATATCGACGCCGCGTTACAATAGTGAAGCGCAAATTCCGTGAATCATCGAATGCCAATTCGGTTTCGTGCCCTCTTCTCCGCGCGCGCGTGACGTAACACACACACATACGTACCATCTATATCGCGCCGAGCGGGTCAAGTATTGTTCACGCAAGAATCTCATTTCCCGTGCAGCACTTCCTGGATCCCGCAGCGCGTTTCTGAAACGCCGCATGAAACGCAAGGCGTAATAATCGACTACTTATACACGGCACGAACGCGAACGAGGGGCATGCACGCGTCTACGCGTAAGGCATACTTGACATTTGAAGGCATGTTTTGTTTCTTTTTTTTACTAGCGTGTTTATTCAAAGGCGTGCTAAAAATCAACAGTTAGAGAGAAAGAACTATTCTGTATGTACGCTACCCTAATGATAATATTTTTAGATTAAATAGATATACACACACACATACTAATGTTATATCCAGTGTGTTTGTGGTCTCTTTATTTTATTACAATTTAACTAATATATTGACAAAATATGTTGGTTACTAAAGTGAGCTTTTAAACAATTCGTGTTCGTATCATAGCTTATCCGAGATCTGCCTGCTAGTCAAAAACGTGTTGATTGCAATCTATAATATTTTTATGAAAAGATTAGCAGATAATAAAACGTAGTACTCTCTAGAACCGTTGGTAAAGTTTGAATATTTCAATTGGAGTAGCGTGCTAGTTGGCGACGAAAAAAAGTAAACTAAAGTTTAGCAGTGTTCTAAAATACATGATACCTCTTCATTAATGCATACTATATTAGTCACCAAGTAAAATAAAACATCGTGTAAAACACGCTTAAAAATATGCCATTGCATCGCGACTCGCTGCAGTGTACATAAGTATGTTGAACCATTATAATAGCGTTTAATTCCGATGTAACATATTCATAATTTTGGCTATTTCTTTTTTTTATTATGCTTTCGATCGTTAAGTAAATTTTAATTAACCGTTCGTAATAAATCCATCACAATACTCGCGATTGATAATTTAGTGGAAAGTAACAAATATACACATAATTGTAGATTTTGAAATTGATCAAATATTTATATTGCAAGAACCTAATAAAAATATGTATATTATAAATATCCTATAGATTTGAAAATCTTTATTCTCGAGGAAATTGACGAAAAATGTGTCAACTGAAAAGCATTCAAAATTATCACTTCACATCAAGTTAACAAAGTTTTCTTTTTTCACAAAGTAATTTTAGAATCGTCGTTCCGTTTTCCAACGATCTTCCGTACGATCTTAAATAAAACATAACACAAAAAAAGCCGATCGATCTTTGCTCTTTGCCATAGTTTTGCACCATATGCGCTGGCAGTTTTATTTTTACGGCACGATTTACTCTCTCGGAAAGTCTCTCTCGCGGAGAGAGAAAGACAGAGGGAAATTTTAATCCGGAAAGTTTTTCAAAATTTAAGACGACAAGGTGTATGAAGCGAAAGCGGTAAGCGATCCTTGTTTCCCTCATCGCGGGAAAAGCACGACATCGCGCGACACCGTCGTGCATTTTCCCTCGTGAGAAATTCACGAGGCCACCAACCTACACACACACACACACACACACACACACACACACACATACGTACGTCCCAACTACTCTCGTAAAACGAAAGCATGCAAGCTCGCTCAACGCGATCGTGCGGCCATCCACCTCCTTAGATTACGATATAAGGAATGGTTAACGCGATATGGCGGTGCACGCACGTGATAGCGCGCTCTGTTATATATGTATATGCAATTGCCTCTCGCTCTGACCCAGCTTTCACTCGCATACATCGATAAGATGCTCTGAAAATGAGGCTGCTCGTGAATCCGGGGGCCCTTGCGAAATTCTGAGACTATACGCTTTACCTCCGAATTTCCGTATATCGGAAAATTACATACGGGTTATCTCATTATATGTTGTCAGTCTTGTGCGCTCGTAATACATAATTTTCGCCTCAAATTGGCGGATATATATATATATATGTATATGTATATCCGCCAGATGTGCACGAATTGAAAACGTAATTTGGCCGAATTCAATTTTCAATATTACAGAATACACGCAAGGGAGTTAATTTTGTGTATTTATAACAATGCAATATGAATTCACTGAAATATAACAGTTTCAGTTCAAATTTATATAGAGAAGATGGAAAAGAAAGATTTAAACAATTTAAATGTTATATATATGCATATAGAACAATGCATCATTGTGATAAAGCAGTAAAAATTGCTAACAATGAGTTTTGAATATCCACTAGATCAGATACTACTCGTGTCAGATATTCAGACAATCCCCTCGAATGTGTGAGTGACTCTGCTTACCAGTGATTGGCAGAACACACCGAGTGAATCAGACTTTGATAATCGGGCGGAAATATTGGACTCTGGATGTATTCGCTTGATTAGAGCATATCGACGCATTGCATCAAGCAAATAGAGATTGGCTTAAAGACATTGACGGAACTTTGCTTTTAAATCAAAAGCTAAATCGAGTTGTTTATCTTTGCATCCGTATTGTATAAAAAATTTTTAGGAATATTTAAATTAATTTTCACGTATATATATACAATTCTAAATATTTATTCTAAATATTTATTGCATGAAAATAAGATTATATTGAAGAATTTTTATTTATCACAAAAGGTTTATTTCTTTCTTATAATTTAATAAAATTAAAATTGTATATATATGTACATTAACAATCTATAATTCGATAAAAATTTGAAATAAATCTTTTAAAATTTATCGATTTTATAGACGATTTGTACCGATATATCGTTTTAAAAACTTGCTATTTTCTTAGTATTTAATTCGAATTATGCGTTCTGCTATCGAATCGTTACCGATACAGTTAATTTAAATGGTAAATTTACTCACCAAAGGTGAATTTACTGCTTTCCGCGTATTTAGTTGGCCTGGACATCTCCGACTGCTCTCTTTAAGACGGCGCTCCATCGAACCACGCACTCACTCGCGTAAATTGCATGGACGAACCAATTGCACATGCTAATTACCGCTATATGACAGTAATTGATCATTTCGTTACACGCGTGCGACTCACTTATAACATGTAGGTAAATAACGCGAAACACAAGAGGGGGAAAGGGAGCGATCTCGATTCTTTGCGTCCTGACGTCGGTTACATGCGCAATAATGTTTAATAATTCCGAATTATGCGGCAACTTCACACTTTACACGCCGACCCAATGAGCAGACAAAATTTTTAAAAATATTTTTAAAAAATGTTTGAGAAACATTTTCAAAAACATTAAAATAATGGGTTAAGTTGCCTTTTAATTATTAAAAGAATGTTTATATTAAAATCCAATAAGCAGACAATATTTTTTAAACGTATTTTTAATATTTATTATTCATTAATTATACAATATAATTAATGAATAATATTAAAAATACGTTTAAAAAATATTGTCTGCTCACTGGATGTTAATATAAACATTTTTTAATGATTAAAAGAGAACTTAAACTATTATTTTAATGTTTTTAAAAATGTTTTTAAAAACATTTTCAAAAATATTATTTTGCTTATTGGGGAACCGCGTATCGTGTCACGACGCGAGATAAAACGACGAATCCGAGTATCCGATATCGCAGGAAGAAACCGTTAATTATTACGACATATCTTAATACGAATGTCCATTCATATCACGCACTTTTTGATACGCTTGATCGCGCGTACCATGCTTGCTAAACGCGTGAAGTCACGCGTAAATACTCCGAAAAATGTTTATGTCGACGGCGTGTTGACGAATGTCGTCGATTCAGATAACGCAATGTATCTACGAATATCGAAGGACGCTATCAATTACGATTGCCTTCGCTAATAGAACGTGCAGCGATCGTATTTCGTTTCGACACTTCCGACACTTTTATATTAATGAGTAAAATACACTCCCCGGAGGAGAAACGATACGGTGACCGACTGCGATGTAAGTGACGCGATACGTCTTGAAGTACGCACGGAGCGACAAGGCGACAACACGAGACAAAAACATATGAGAATCAAAACATAGGCATAGAGTATATATACATATATACTATAGTATAGACGTAATATATATAGATTGTTCTCCCTCTCTCTTTTTCTCTCTCTCTCTCTCTCTCTCTTTCGTTTCGATTAAACATGCGTACAATTTAGAATGAAAAAGAAAACTTTTATCAATATAACACTTCTCTCCCTCTTTTTTGCTTTTCTTTTCTACTTAAAAAATACCGATAGAATTTTATTGCGAATTGTAAATTATCTCTAGAGTGGGATTTAAAATAAAAAATACATTTTTCTTGCAAAAAAATTGACACTATTGTAAAAAAATATAGCTTTCAATGCAAAAACCTTATTAATTTTATATATTATTAGATATACTATTTTCCGATTATTTATCTCGTTCGAAAAACTTTCAGGAAAAAAGTAGCATTTTTGTTATTTTTTGAACCTTTCACGGTCGAATATGCGAGCTAATGTCGTCGAAATAATTGAATTAACGCGTGGTACCGCGATAATGTCAATTACGGTAATGAGCCGCAGCCGCACACAATCGATATCTATCTGTACACACTCATGTATATGTGTATATGTGCGACTTACACCATGCTCACGACGAATATGTTCTCTCTTCTACTCGCATCGTTTCTCATCTCATCGTCGAAGTTACATTTGTGTTGTAGTATAAAGATTCGTTATTGTTGCACCTTGCTACTCCGTTATCTTCACGATTCTGGGTCAGTTGCGAGACAGGAAAAAGCTAAATTGAACATCGAGTCATGACGGATGAAGACAAAGAAAATAAGAAAAAGAAAAGAAAGAGAGAGAGAGAGAGAGAGCGAGAGAGAAAAAGAGACAGAAAAGGAATTCACTAATGCTGCCAAATATTTCATCTCGAGATATGATTTTGCACTATTCAAGGATAATCATATTCTCTTTTCATGGTCCTTTTCTCTCGATCCAACAATTATAAAATAATGCGATCTATCTAGACCTACGTTTTATAAGATAATGTATTAGATATTAGTAATGAAATATTCGTTCAAAAAATGAATCGGACAAGGAAAAAAAAATTCTTTTTTCTATTGTTCCATTGTACAAACACGTTGCCTTCATGCTTCCAATATATAAATAAGTTTATGATTTCCTAGTTCTTTCTCTATAGAATGTAAGATAAACAATTTTCTGATTTAACTGCACTGAAAGAAACTATATCCGACATCGCTATATCTCTCTCGCATCGCATTTGGAGCGCTAGAGCGCCTTCTAGTATATGTAGAGTTCAGTGTGGAAAAAGATACATATATTTTGTGGCATTGTCGTATACATGGGAAACGTTTTTACCACCTGAGCCGGACGATGCTAGGAATGGCGCCAATGCGCCGCCATTTTCACGAAACTTTACCGTGACCATAAAGACTGTGTGGAGGAAGAATTCCAGCGGACGTCGAGCCCCCGACTCGGAGGATCGTCGTAAAAATCGCGAAAAAGACGAGAAATAATGCGCCGATCGTAAGTACGATCCCCTTTCGATCCATCGCGGTTGGCTAGTTTTTTTTTGGGCACGAAACCGCAGGGCCTATGGCATGGGACTTCCGTTCGATGAAACAGGAACAGGAAGTTCCTCGCGACCCCGAGACGGCGAAATAAAAACATCCTGTAGCGATGCGAAGATTTCGAGAAATAAACATACCACGCGCACGCGACGCACAACGTGGCGCGAATCAAACGCGCCGTGTCTTACGTGTTTTTCGTCGATTCGAGCTCGTTATTTTTATGGCCCACTTTCGGATTTCGGTGACCCAAGGTCGAATGGCAGTAACTAACGCCCGAAAATGAATCGCTCTCGCAGCTGCCTTCGTTCGTCCGGGAGAATTCACGTTGATCGTTACCATCATGGATAATTTTGTTTCAGAGCCCGTTTGCACGAAGGCGACTGATCTTGACACGCAAGAATGCAATCTATGCAAGAGAGCATATGTGCTAACGATATCGAGAGTCTGGATACGGACACTGTCATACCAGTAAGTGTCCCTCTTCGACTTTTGTGTATAAAATATAAGTGTGTAAAGCGTGTACTATCTTAATAATTTTAGCTATTGTTAATATCTAATGATAATCTACAATTGTCATCAGGTTGAACTATTCGATTGCAATGTCTCTTCTCATTCGAGAACCCAAGATGCCTCGACCATGGTGGAACTTGGAAAACAGCTTCTACATAACGCAAAAAATGGAGACACTGAGACTGTTCGCGAGCTCATGTGTAGAGGCGCACCGTTTACTACAGATTGGGTACAATGCAACATTTATGTAGTATTTGTATATTTAACTTGTAAACATAAATATGATGTATATCCTTATCTTTTAGCTTGGTACAAGTGCGCTTCACCTGGCTGCACAGAACAATCATATAGAGACTGCTGAAGTTCTGCTTAGAGCAGGAATATCAAGGGATGCTAGGACAAAGGTTGATAGAACTCCATTACATATGGCAGCATACGAAGGCCATCATCAGATGGTACAATTGTTGCTTAACTATGGAGCAGATGTTGATAGTAGAGACATGGTACATAATAACAAAATGTGGATTACAGATTTATTGATTTTTTGTTACAATTATAATACGAGCATTTCTTACAGCTGAAAATGACTCCATTACATTGGGCAGTAGAACATGAGCATGTAGATGTAATGCACATTTTATTAGATCATGGAGCTGATACGAATGCGACTAGTAAATTCCATAAAACTCCAATCAGTCTTGCATTAGAGCATGATAGGTTAGACTTAGTGGATATACTGCAACAGCAAAGAGAAATAATAGGTATCCAAGCTCATCAACAGAGTCAGGCTAATTCTGCAGAATTAGAAGTAGCTACTCATAATTTAGTACAATTAGAAGCTGAAAATAATAGCAAAAGTTCGATAATACACGAAGAGGAACAGTACAAGTTTGAAATAAAGCAACAACGTAAACGCAAACATTCTCAAGGTAATGCTGTCCTACAAATATTTTTCCATCTACTTTAGTAATTTTGGTTTCTATTTTATGTATTAATTTACAATTTCTACTGTGCAAATAGAGAAAAAGCAAAAAATGATCTTTCACCAAATTTCCATATCACCAAACAACACAGATGGTGAACAAGATAAAGAAACTGAGGATGTTGAAATGATTGATACAAATACTGTTATGAATAGTAAAAAACATAAAGATATTATGTCGATAGGAAGTATTGGTAAACATTTTAGGTTATTAGAAGCACATGGAATCACAATGATACCTATGGATGATGAATCATCTATTGTAGAGAATGCAATGGAAAGTGGGAGAACAGTAGTTTTGACAGGTCTGTCTTTCTTTTATACATATATATTAAAAACATATTTGTCAGCGCATGCTATTTTTCATGTTAATAATACATGTTTACAGAAGCTGGAAAACTTGCTTTAAATTTGACGAAAGGTTCGCAGATTAAGCGCCTTCAAGTTGCTTCGAGAAAAGGGACAGCGAGAAAAGTTATAGCAATTAGAACAGATCAAATCCAATCCAAAATCTTAAGTTCAAATTCTAATACATCTGCTCGGGGTCCAAACATTTTGAAAAGATCTGCTGTAGATAACAAAACAGCCAAGTTATTTGTTACAACAATTCCTAATACTACAACAGTACCTACTGTTACTGAAATCAAGAACTCGCTTTCATTGAAGGAGGTAAAATTATTTATTTATTTTTAATGTAAAATAAAATAATGCACAAGCAAATATACACGAAAATTGCTATTTTTACATTGCAGAAAATTGCGAGTTTTCCAACTAAGATCACGGAACCAACAGTTTTACAATTGAATGATGATATAGAAGAAGTAATTGAAGAAGATCCGGAAATAGAACCAATAACAGATATAGCAATATTAAGCAAACAATTAGCAGAAGCGCGAAGACAAGCCGCTGAATATCGTAAACAATTGCAAGAGAAAGAGAAAGAAGCAGAAATATATAAGCAACAACTGAAGAACATCACAGCGCAAATAGCATCTAAGTGATTTTGTACAGGTATAGATTTCATATTCAGTTTCATGATTCGCAAATCAGATTTGTTTCTTTATACCACAAAATTTTGGAGCTTTGTTATTTATAGTAAATTTTATCATGTTGTGGAGTCCAGAAGTAATTATAAAAACAAATTCTTTTTTTTTATGTATTTTGCTTCCATAAATACAAAATAACAGTCTGCCATTTTCATTACTAACACAGTCTTATAATGAATAGTTTTAGGAAACCGAAAATTTGTCACATAAAATGTTAATGTCCATTTTATATTTTATTAAGCATGAATTATTTCTATTAGGTGAATACTGTACAAAATATAAAAATTAAATAATTTTTGGTAGAGTTCTGTCTCTTCCTAAATTTTTTGGTCAGATACAGTTAATAATTTGATATATAAATACATAACAATATATAACTATATAAATTATTTTGCTTTCCACATAATGTTAGCCAGTTTAATATCAATATAATCAGTTCTGCAGATAGATTATATATGTATTAGATTAAATTGCATAAAAATTCTAAATTAGGAAACAAATGGATAAATATTAAATGATGATCCTGTTACCGACTCAAAATAAAATTTATAAAATAATTTTTTGATCAAATTTAATCTTATCAGATTGAGTTACTTGGATCATTTATTTATTCAAAAAAAGAAATATTTCTTATATTTTTCTGTGTTTATAACTCAACCTAATACATATATCCTAAGCTTATCTTTATAAAATATAGATCTTCTTTCCTTTTTGTAATAAATGTATATATACATTAATTTTTATATGAAAAGAATGAGAGACAATTAAACAATTGTTATTTTTTCTTAATGATTCATAACTCATTACTGGAATCATATAATGTTGAAACATAAGCTCTTTTTAAATGAGCATGTTGATTGTGTTAGTCGCTGTCTAACATTCATCTTATATATAGTCATTTTTGTGTGCAGCATCAGTTACTAAGTAATAATAAAGAATGTGCGCGCAATTCAGCACAAAGATTAGTGCTGTTAATAGTCTATAAACCATTATCTATTTTATACATATTGTACTTTTATAAATACACAAATTATGCTTCTATGAATATTGTTACAAATTGATTATCACAAACATTGAGATGACTAAAATATAAAATGTTTTTGAAGTTATTATATATGAAGTCTATGTAAATTTTTTTCTGGAGCTATAATTAACATTACTACAGTTGTATATATTGTTGAGACATCCACATCATGAAATTGCTTGTGCTTTTAAATAGAACGCATAATGTGGAAAGCAAATCAATTCGGCAAATATTTTCGAGCTTATAACTTAAAAACATGCTTAAAATCATTTTACATAGTCGATTACACAGTACATCGCTTCACATATATTTTTTAATATGAAATGCTTGCATTCCAAATATTTTCTCAACAGCTGATTGGTTAAAGTTTTCAATGCTAAATCAACAGTTATTGTGAAAAAAAAAATATGAATAAGAAAAAAATTTTTGGTATTGACACTATTAGTGCCAATATTAGATTTTTAGGTGCTAGAGTATTCGACCAATGTGATTTAATTTAAAGATATCTCGAACGAAATGTGAAACGATGGGATAGTGTACAGCAGAGGATGTGCAGGAAAGTAGTTAACCTCAGGTACAAAAAAATGCGTTGTTGTATAAAACACTATGGCAGAAAGTTGTGGGATGCAACGGTCTATATCTAGGATATAATTCTTTTTTTTTTTTTTAAGTAAGATTTTTCTATAGCATACACAGTGTACATTGTATATACAATATAAATATAACTTTATATATAAAACTATTAAAAGTTGTTAATTATGAGCTGCAAAAATTTCATTCAAGAATAAAGACTGTTTTCTATATAATGAAGGTATTTCATATCAATACCACGTGTGTTGAAGTGTGTTGATAATAGTAAAAAAGCCTAGTATAAATAATACATATAAATTATGTATAAAGAAACAAGGACATATATATACCACTTGTTGAATATTCCTATATTTCCCGCGAATTAATTTTCGTTGCGATATCGTCTTTGATAAGTTCCGCGTTTTAAAAACGATTTAATAACCGTTTGATTCTTGCTTGATCTTTCGATCAAGAGTAGATTTTACGCTGCATACTAATAGTTCAATAGAGATTTTATTCTATTATTGCACCTATGTAAATCTTTTTCTTTTATAGATTTCCTCTTATCTATCTATATGTTCCAATATAAAGACTGGCAGTTTTTATTGAAAAAAAATTATTTATATATATGTATACATATATGTTTATTCATATATGATGTACTATACGTTAAAACGGAACAACACAGCCTATATGCAGATATGTGATATTCTCACAGTATCCGGGGCGTAATTGATCATGGCATTCGTCGTATCCCAATACGACACTTTTCCTTTCTCCGCCTCTCTCTCTCTTTTGAAAGGGCTATGCTAGTTTCGCTCTAATTGTAAGTATATAGAAAGTACTGGAGATGGATAATATCTCGCTAACAATAAGTTCAGATCCCGATGCCGTAGCTACGCGAAAATGATCTTTATGTTAACTTTTGCTAAACGATAGGCGACAATTGAGGCAAGGTCAATTTTTACACGACTGCAGTATGGAAAGTTTTAATCCGACAAGTTGCGAACGTATTTTCGGCGATCATTCTCTCGTCTCGACTTCGCGATCGATCGAATCGTCGCGCCCATGGGCGTTCTCGGATAATTCTCAGGGGTGGGCTACGCGCGCCAATCGATAAATAACTTAATCCGTTGACACACCTAGACATTCTCGCATGTAGTTCCTTCCTTTTGGAAGCTGAATCCCCGAAAAAAAAGAGATCGCAAATTTTTTCATTATACTTTCGCGACATCGCCCATGAATTCAATTCCTTTTCAAGCCCGTTCGATTTCCGCGAGACGGATATTCGGACGCCTCCTCTCGACGCCGATCGATCGCAAAACTCGACCCATTGGCAACGCCACTGCACATTCTCGCTTCAAAATAGTGTCCCTTTAAGCGGCGTATATTCCGTCTCTCGAAATGCACGAATCGAACGTATGCGTATATGTGTGAGAGAGTTCTTTTCATTAGGATTAAAAATCGATGTAATTTCGCAGATTTTCTCGACATTACAAAGGCGCAGAAGAATGCATGCTGATTACAGTCTAAAAATATACTATGGGGGCTTCCCAGAGCAAGAAAAATACATAAATAATATCCATAATTGATTATCAAATAAAAAAATTTTAGAAATTTCAAAAATTCTCTGTTTTCTATCGTAGCGAAATATCAAACATAAAATCCGCTGGATTATGCGATGCTCCGGTTTGTAGCTAATTTACATTCTCGGAGCATATCTTTGAAAGTTGATGCCACACAGGCACGTGTAACACGAACGACAGCTGATGGAAAAAAAAAATATATCTCACGCGAGCAATTGTACGTAGGAGATCAGGCTTGGTTGCTTGTGGAAGTCGCGATCATCTCGGGAGTTAAATTTGAAAGAAGCGTGCGCTCTCTCGCAAGAGCGATCAAGTCTCCTCCCGCGTCCTTCCCCTTTTTGTCGGCAGGAATGTTCGCGAGCTGGACCTTGAGTGCCCCGCGATAAATCCTAAACATGTTGCTTATAATATATATATTCACGTTTCAATGATTATCGTTTTCGATTTATATAGAAAGACACTCGTAAGGGAGTGTGTCTCGATTATTCGAAGATCAACGATACAACTTTTAACGAGCATAACTCCGTCATGTGCGATGCGCAAGGGCGCTTAGAGATCTTAATGTCGCCCTGTGTCACGGTGCTCATGCTCTTCATGCGACATCGCGAACTGCGCAGATACGTCATCGAGCGAGAACGTCGTTCGGTGGAGCAAACGTGAGGGACTGACACATTTTACATTTAGTTGATTTTAGTCTACGAGTCCTTTTTCGCGCTCTTTCCGAATGTCGCGAACTGCGCAGATACGTCATCGAGCGAGAACGTCGTTCGGTGGAGCAAACGTGAGGGACTGACACATTTTACATTTAGTTGATTTTAGTCTACGAGTCCTTTTTCGCGCTCTTTCCGCTCATTCTCGTTTTCGATGGCAGAATATATGAGCACGTGACGATAAAAACGATGCGCCAATACTAGTCGGCCTCGTGCGTGATTAGGAAGATAATAATCACAGAAAGGAAGAGAGGTAGGGGGGAGAGGGGAGGAGGGCAGGGATGTATATGTAAGAGATGTACGTCGTGGACGCAGCTTAAAGACCGCCAGGTACAATCACAGGGCCGATCAAATCGATTGAGAACCTATGCCATTTACGACTCTTCATCTGACAATAAACAATATACGCGTTATGTATATATCCTCGAATTAATCGTTCGCGTTTGTATTTTTTTTTTTCATAATAAATTTAGATCTAAATATATATTTCTAAATTTTGATCTTACGAATTATTATTGAATCCTACAAATATATTCTTGGAAATACTCGAAAGTTTTTAACATCAATAGAATAAAATAAATATAATATTATTTTATAATATTATTAGAAATATATAATATACATATAATATAATATTATTAGAAATATTTAATTTTTTTTTAAATTCTGTTAGATGACTTTTCCCCTACATATTAGCGATATACGTAAAAATACTAGCATTAAAAGATTTTGACGAAAATGTGGAGAATGCAATTACGAGGTGACTTCATGTGATTTTAGCAATCGACTATTTTTTACAAGCTTCGATAACACTCGATATGTCATAAACAATAATATTTTTTAAATAAAATAATTCCATATAAAACGTAAAAAAAAGATGGAATAATTTTAACAGAATGTCAAAGTTTAACAATATAAATTTGACATTATTTTATTAAGATAACGGCGCCCGCGACAGACGATCCTGACCCTATTGTACCGCGCTCCGTCGTCTAGGTTGAGAACCCCTCCCCGAATGTTTCCAATCCCGAAGAGAGGCGATGTCCAGTGCTCCGTGTTGTGCGCGACAAGGAAGGGGGATGCGTTTCGCCGTCGTCGTGGTGGTCGTTACTGCGCCGCTCGTGTGCACCGGTGACTCGGCGATCGCGGCGTCACGCGCGTACGTTCGTCTAGGACTCTAGGACGCGAGGTCTGCAAAAGTCAAGGAGCGAAATTCGTCCCGTGCTCCCGTTCAGTGCGCGATATCCGTTTCGAGGAGCGTGGATTATACGCGCTGTATTTTCCTGGCTAATAACATCGCCGTAGTCGTCGCGACGTACGTGCGTGCGTGCGTGCATGCGCACGCCCGCGCGCGCTCTCGGCATCGACGGAGCGAAACGTCGTGTGTGTATTGTGCGCGAGAGAGAGAGAGAGATGGTGTGAAACGGAAGGAGTTTCAGAGGAAAGAGGGGTGGGGGGAGAGAGAGAGAAGGAAACAACGCGCATTAGAGTTCTAACGCGCGATGTGTCTGTGTCCGTGATTCGTGAAAAAGTTGCGAGAGCAAAGCGAAGGAGAGACAAGAGGACAGATACAAGTGTACGAGAGAAAAAGTGTGAGAGAGAGGGAGAGAGAGAGAGAGAGAGAAAGAGAAAGAGAGGCGGCGGCGCCGCTTCTTTTTACTTGTCTACTTTTTGAGAGAGGGCGGAGGAATAAGCACCTCCGTCTCTCTCTCTTTCTATTCCTCCCGTGAACGTGTGTGCGTGTGTTGTGGCTCTTCCCCTCCTCGTTGGCGCGCGAGTGGCAGGTAGAGGCGCGCGCGAAGACACCAAGGGCGCGCACAACGCACAACGACGAGGTAGAGGAAGACGAGAGCGGCGAGGAAGCGGTAAGCGTCGGCGTCGAGACGACCGGCGGCCGATTGACTACCTGCTCGGCGACGATTGAAACGCGTGAAATTTTTCACGTAGCACGCTGCTCGTTAACGTTATACGGCCACTGTTGATCGGTACCCGTTAAAGTGTAGTGGAAAATGGGATGCGCGGCAAGCCATCGGCAAGCCGCTTAGCGTAGTAGTGTGTATCGCCTGTTTGACGGCGGTGGCGACGGCGACGGCGGCGGCGGCGGCGGCGGCGGCGGCGGCGGTGGTGGTGGCGGTGGCAGTGGCGGTGACGGCGGTGGCGACGGGGCCCAACGGCGAGAAGCGGTCGGAAAAATGGCGTCCGATAACGAAGCCTCTTGCGCGAGTGACCCAAATTTCGCGGTGATCTGCTCGTTCCTTGGCTGCTTCGGCAAATCCTGCGGCATCATTTATCCGGACATCGCGCGACTCCAGGAGATGCTCGAGAACACGCAGGAAGGTGGGTCTTTACCGCGGTCTCTTCCTTTAAGCTTGTGTGTATGTGCTCTCGTGTGCGCGGGAGGGAGGGACGGTAGACACGGACGTGTATATACGCTCTAGACGGTGTGTGAGAGAGAGAGAGAGAGAGAGGGGAATAGAATATATGTGAAAAGGTGCGAGAGAGGGAACGACAGCGACCCGCCCCCGCAAAAGGCCAGTCGTCTAAGCGCCGTACCATTAGTTTCCTTCGTACGACTCCGCTTCGACTGCGAGCCTCGTTCTTTCTTCCGTTTGTCGATTCGTTCCGGCAAACGGATCGTACCTCTCACTATTCTCTCTCTCTCTCTCTCTCTCTCTTTGAACGCGCAATGACGAGCGAGGACGGTGGACACGGCACACGGGACCGCTGCTTTTTGTTTTGATGCGCGAGATAGATGAAGGTGATCGCGAAACGTCCTCTTCGCGCGTCCTTTCCTTTCACGTTTCGCGCCGACACGTTTGGCGTAACGAACACGTTTCCTAAACTAACCGTTGTTAATGACAGATAAACGCGAGATAGGTTTTACATTGTTGTTATTCTGCCGCGTGCTGCCACCTTCCTTGTTGTCAACTTGTCGGTTACACGTGATTACATACATGTTACAAGCGACGCCGGCTTACTCCAATTTCGGAGAAATGTCATTGATCGTTGCAGTGTGAGACTTGTATACGACGACCGTGAATCCGCAGATGAAAAACCTACTCTATGGAAACAGAACAGTTCTGTTTTGTGTTTTTTCACACATTACTTGTATTTTCATTCATTTAAATTTAGCATTAACCTTGAACTGCTTTTCTGTAACATTTATAATGAAATCTATCAGATATATTTTTATGTTATTTTAGTTTCTGTATCAGTGTCATTGTTACAATTATATTCATTTGAAAAATAAAATGTTAAATAAATATTACATTAAATATTACACTTTCTGGAAAAGCTTTGACATAAATTATTTATTGTTATATTAGGTCAATATAGAATTTTTCAATTAAAAATTTTCCTTGTATTTGATTGATAGTGATTCTTACAAATTTATTATTATATACTCTTTTTAGTGTCACGAGAATTAATAGACCTGCACATCAAGTTGTTACGTAAAACGCGTAAAACTGTGTCGCCAGAAAAATGGGAACGGGCACTAGTCAAGTTTTGCCACACGTACTCTAATCAAGATGGATGGGAACTTGAACGCTTTGGTTACAAAAAGGCTCGCATTGCTGTTAAACTGCGTTTACTTAAAGTATGAATCATATAATTATATTTTTTTTATCTATAAGATTAAAAGATTAATCCATTTTTTCATGCGTAAGCCCTTTTTGTATTCTAGGTACTATTGGAAACGCAATTTGACTTAAATCAAAAATTTAAGAATGAAGTGAATAAATTGGCAGCTGATGAATTACGTGTGGAACCATTAGGAAAGGACAAAAGTGGATTAGCATATTGGTGTCAGCTGGACGAGGAGTGCAACATAAGGGTTTATAGGGAAGATTTAGACGAAGAGAATTGGGAACTAGTAGCTCAGTAAGTTTTTTATTACACACTAGATTAGAAGCAATAATATGCTTTTGAATTATTATTTTTTTTTATTAATTCAATCTATCAATGGTGCATATTTTATATTCTTTGTACTAGGGATCGAGAGGGTGTTGTTAGTCTCATAAACACCTTGTCGAATGGCGAAATTGGAGCTATACCAATTAACGAGGATAGCAACAGTTTAGAAATCTCTGAAAAACCTATAATAGACACTGGTCAAGTAACGACATCACCAAGTCTGGAAGACGAAGTTGTGCAAGAGAATGGCATTCAAGATGAAGCAAACGAGATGAACGATAAACAGCTACCGAATGGCAGAAGTGACGAGTTTGAAGATGAACATGATCAGGATCAAGATCAAGATGATACTAATGAAGCTGAAAATGACGAGGAAGAAGATATTGATGCGGAAGAGGAAGATGTAACAAATGACGAAAGTTCCAAGCAGATTACAGAAGAAGACGATTCTCAAGAAATGGTACAAACGTCGAGCATAGAATCAAGATGTATAAACACTTCATCTACATTATCAGCATCTAATTTTAAAACGCTAAACATGAAGGTGGATGTAATATCAGAAGACGTAAGCCGCAGAGAGGCTACCGACGAAACGTCCGATTCTTTAGCATCGGAGAGCAAACCCGCGATTATACATAAACAGACAGTAGTAGATATCGTGAAATCCGAGGTTGAAGAATCGGCACCGTTAAAATCGATAGAAACGCCTGTTATTACTTCGTCTCCACTGAAACTGGTGAATATTTCGGAGTTGAAACAGACACCGGAAGAAAAGTTGCTAAGTCCAACGACACCTGTCACTGCACTGTTAAACGCGACGAGAAAATATGGTGCCTCTGACGAGATGACAGATCCTGTTATGAAATCGCTCGAGAAATTATCTGGCAAAAGTAGTGTACTTTTTTCCTCCACGGATTCTGTTTCCATGGCACACAGCAAACTATCTGTCAAGCCAATAGATCAACTGGCTGCTAATCTTGTGAGGATACAGTCAGAAAAACTGGAGAAGCCAAGCGGACCAAAATCGTTGGAAAAGATAGCGGAATCTCTAGCAAGATCCGGCGGTATATTGGGAAGTACCATGAATGGAGAGGACGACAGATTGCCGCAAGACTTTTGCTCAAGAAATCAATCTGAAAAATCGGCAACTCTCAGGGGCCATAGAGGCATAGACTTATCGACATCACCGCGTAGCTGGGAGAGCGCAAGCGAGCAGAACAGGCCGATGGATTTTTCCGGAATCGATCTTTCTAGTCGAAAATTGGGGAAGACAATGGATCTGCCTTCCCCGGGCTACCGGACGCAGGACTTCCAGCATCGAGAGATGGACCTGAGCACAAAGAAGCTGAGCAAACCGGAAATACCGAATTTACCGTACGATGCACGTAGCGTGATGATGCGCAACCATGCGATGGTGGCAGATCTGAGCAAGCGGCAAATGCCATTCACCGCGTATGAGATGTCATCGACGCCGTATCACAATACAGCTAGATTACCCGTCAAGGATGAGCATAGATTACCGAGCTATACGATACTTCCCGATCCTAGCAAGATTACTTCCTTGAGGATGAACACCGTACCACTGAAACGTCCCCTAGAGGGTGACGATGTGCAGCAAGACATGTTGAAGAGGATAAGAGCGGACGTAATTCCAATCAGAGGCTCCATAGATAAGAGACCGATGATGAGCGGCAATTGGAGGAATGAGGTGAGCGAGGCTATCGAGGAACCTATGATGATGGTTCAAGGCGAAGGATCTGGTAGTGATTGTGACGCGGTGAATCCCATTGTCGGAGAGGCTGTGGAAGAACCGACAATTTTTTTTTACGGTGAGGGTTCCGGCGCGGAATGCGCGACAGGTAATCCCGGTGACGACACGTCCACTGACAATAAAGAAAGCAACGAATCAAAAACTGAACCTGATTCAGCTACCGCGACATTATCGCAGAGTAAGGTTTTAACCGAGAACGAGGTGTCTACGGGCTCGATAGTGTCGAACAAAACCCCTGTAAAATTAAATAGAAACTATCCGCAATCTAATTTAAGTGTAAACGATAATTGTCAAATAGTAGATTCTATGCAAGAGAAGCCAAAGTTTAAGCAGACGTTGGGCGTCCAAATAATACCTAAAAGTACAACTGGTCCCGTCAAAAGGTTATCTAGGTGGGACGTGGGAAAACCGGAGGAGAAAACAGAATGTGACAGTAGTATCATATCACACGTGGAAGGAGACATATCACTGAAGGAAAATACAAATGATTACAAACATGACAATGCAGAGCAAAAACTATTGAACATGGATATAGAATCGCCAATTAAAATCGAAGATTCTGCTGATGTAAATCAGGACGTCAAAATAGATGACAACAATTTTGTAAACACAGGAAGTGAAACCACCATCGAAGATAGTGTTAAATTGCAAGTGTCCGATGTAAGTTTAAAGAGTACGAGTACAATGGAACAGGAAAGCGATTCTAAGCTTCAAGAATCCGTGCAGTGTGATTCTTCTATATCGTCGTGTCAACTAGATATCTCACAGACACCCGAACAATGTACAAATTCTGAACTATCTATGGTACATTCAGACAATGTACAAAACGATTCGAGTAGCATAGTTTCACGCGAGCCGGGTACTCCCGAAATAGCGGATAACGAATGCAAACCAGCAATCGCCAATTCTCCACCGAGATTTTTTTTTGGTCCCAATTGTATCTCGTATACCTCGAAAGCCGATAAATTAGAATTGGAGCAAAGCTTGATCGCATCTGCGCATGATAAAACAGATACTGTGCAATATGAATGTGTATCTTCATCGAAACCAGTGGATGATACTGTTTATCCATATAAAGATACAAAAGATTTTGAGTTGGCGCAAACAAACAATAATTTGCTAAAAACGGGTCTGTTTACTTCGGAGTCTGACAGTGTTCCATGCGGAAATAATAGTGAAGACATGAAAAAAATTGAAGCATCAAGCAACACGTGGGATCAACAAACAACTTCAACAATTAATAGCTCAATAGAACCAAGCGATGTATCCGAGTGTGATGCCACTAATTCATCTGTTGTGAAAGTTTCAATAGAGGCGAATAAAGAACTGAGTATACAAGAATCTGTTTGTACCAGCAAAGAAATGGAAGAAGATAATTTTTCAAAAACTCATACAAGTACATCAGAGGCAGTAACAGATAATGAAAGTATTAATGATATAAGTATGACTGAAGAAGATCCAATTAAAATCAGTTCAGTTAGTGAATCCAGCGTAGTTGAACCAGTAGAATGTGGAATTGTTGAGCCATCACAATGTGATCAGTCTATTGATTCTGAAAAACCTGAAAGCATGGAACAAGCTCAAAAAGATATTCCTTTTGAAATGTCGGACGATATTACGTCACAGTTATCGGATGATAAAGAGGATAAAAATGAAAAACCAATCGATAACTGTAAAATTGAGAACAATCATCAGTCTGCTAATTCAAACAGCTTCAAGGAAGACGAAGGGAAAATCGAGTCTATGACAACACCGCATTCGTCTTTATCGCTTCTTACTCAAGATTCACAAGCAGAATTGATCGATCTTAAGGAATTCGAGGATAACAATTCGAACGAGTTATTGGATTCCACGAATGCAGCCAGATTATCCGAGGATTATCAGGAAGCAAACAGCCTTCAAAAGAACGATATCGATTCCGCTGGAGAGAGTTGCGACAAGCAGAGTGATAAGAATGACAATTTTTCTGAAATCGACGGTCAGGAAGATCATTCGACTGACACAGATAACGAGAAGATGAAAGGCCTGATCGGTTCCGATGCTGATTCATTATGCGTTAATTACGACAAGAACAGCGAAAGAACTGATGCATTGTCGGACGTAGGGATGCAGGATGATGGATCCGGTGATACCGAAGAGACTAAAGAGAAAGGACTGAACGATGTGCAAGTTAACAATACCGTGTTTGATATGGATTCTGTGACAGTTTCGGAGTCTGCTCTTGAAGAGAATGATAAACACGACTTAGTTCCTACCATAAGCAGTTCGGATGATGTATCTGTGCAGGATTCTTCATCTCAACAAAGTGAATCTGGGCAAATAGACAATAAAAAAGTTGAAAATACGTTATCTGTCACTGATAAACCTTCTACATTTAATTTATCAGAAATAATACCTGAAACAAACATTTTTGAACTGCCTAGATCGGATATTGTCGAAACTACAAAAGAAACAAACTTTTCTAATATTGTTCAGGCTACAAGTGAATACGTCGACGATGTTTCTGAGAACCCCAGTTCTTGCATCGATCAAGATTCGAACGAAGAGATGGTTATAGATGATCGTGTATCTGAGTCTAATGAATCGTTTAAAGAAACTGAGGAAGTTACAATGAATGATGAACAACCAGAGGATGCAAAGCCGGAAGTAATGATGGATTCCGAAAAAGAAGCTTCTGTTGTAACAAATATTGAACGAGAATCTTTTCAGACTGCAATAGAAACTGAAATCGCAGAGAAAGAGACATCTGAAGCCGATGTACAAACCAAAAACAATAAAGAATTTGCCGAAGATGATCAAAGCAAAACTTATAATATTGATAAACAAGATATGACAGTAGTAGAAGATATTTACGATCTCAGTAAAAGTAAAGAAATTGTCGAAATCGTAGAAAAATCAGAGATAAATACAACAATTGTAACTACTGAACTATCAGATGTACATTTAACAAATGTTATTTCTCAAGAATCACAACGGAAGGTAATGGATGAGAATAAACAGTCGCTAGTTGCGAATTACGATAGTGATTCCAATGATGATAGCGATAATGTTTTCGATCCTAATGTGGCGCAAAGTGATTCTAAGAATGATGTTGCCGTCTCGATGGAACGAAAAACTAGCGAAGAGATGCACGAAAAATCATCTGTCAAAAAAGACGACATCAACAGCACAAATTTAGTCTTTGATACACCTCAAGAGAAATTATCTGAGCAGCAAGCAGAAGAATCTTCACAAACGAAAATTAATGAAATATTAAATGAAGATGTTACGATCGTTAGTAAGCAGACAGAAGTTATGTCTATTTGCAACATTGATAGTAATATCGAAAATTGTTTGAATGACGAATCAACAATGCCTTTAAATAAGGATGAATTTCAAGAAAAAACAGACATTCACGATATTTTTATTACTGACAATTCCAAAACATTGGAAGTGTCAGATGCGACGAAGCTAGTAGCTCCAATCATGACTGAAGAGATAACTGAACCTGTTCTAAAAAAGAATTTTGAGATGTCTATTAGCCATAGTGAGAAAAATAAAGAACATTTTAATAATTTGATTGATAATATGAAAACAGTGCAAGACTCTCAAGATGCAGTTGATGAAGTGATGGAAAAGAGAGATTGCTTAACACTCGAAAATGTGTGTAATTTCGGCGAAAACGACGTGAATAAATTTGGAAAGTCTTCATTTGCCCAAGAAAATGCAGAAATTAACGCTGTGGATAATCAAGTGACCAATATATTTGATGTAAAGGAGCAACATATAAGAGACATTGACGAAAAACTGAACATCAGTTTGGATACGGAAAATATTGTAAGATTGAAGAATGTAAATGAACACATTGCTGAAGAACTGCCTATTCCATGTAAAAGATTTAAAGAAGATCTAACGGACTATGCTAAAGACAATAAATGGGATGTAAAATTGCAAGAAGAATGTTTAACTAAACCATCCATGGAAGAGGTGAGTTTACCACCGATTCAAACAGGATCGGATATTGTGCCAGCGAAATTGGATAATGCTTTAGCTGCGGATAAATTGCATCTTGAAGATGCGAAATTAGAAGACAGCGTATCTTCAGACGCCTTATATTATCCAAATTCGATGTCTATGAAGATGGAAAATGTTAATAACTTGGATAGTAACAATCAAAATGAGCCTTTTAGTGTAAACTTGAATGTAAATAAAAGTACAGAGAATTTCACTGCGCCTTTAAGTACGAAAGATGAATCGATGATATTTTTTGCTCAAGAGACCATCTCGGAAGTTAGTGCTTTAAAAGCTGATATCAAGAAAGAAGCCAGCAAGAGATTGATCGATACCTCAGACACGGAAGATGTTCCTCCGCTAAAATCTAAGCCACCGTACTTGGAAACCGATGATAAGACGTTGGAAAATTTAGTAAGTACCGAGATACAAGCGCTTAAGAATTTAGATACATTGAACGAAGTTGAAAAATTAAGACCACAAATCAAAGATGAAGCGAAAACATCGGCGATCTCCACGACGCAATTGTTTCAAAACGATTTTGGCACGATTAACGATTGCACGGCTGCTGCAGCGATAGAGGATTCTAAAATCAGTTTGGAAATTGCGGAAAGAAAAGAATCATCTTTAGAAATCCAGAATGTTGAGATGAAAACTCTACCTGGTAAAGTTTCCGATTTATCTGCAGATTCTGACAGCGATTCGACAGGCATGGACAACGAGGGCGTTTTTAATGTGCCATCAGAGGAAGCTGATCCTTTAGCATGTACCGATGATGACGTTTTGAAGAATATTACCGAGGATGACACTTTGAAGAATATTACCGAGGATGACGCTTTGAAGAATATTACCGAGGATGACACTTTGAAAAATATTACCGAGAGTGATGATGCTTCTAAGATAAGTATCCGTATAAAGCCGGCATCCGAAATGGTTTACGAGGGATGGAAATTAGACAGCACTACGGAAACGCCAAAGATTTCGCGAAAACGGCGAAACAGCGCTCACGAGTCAAATTCCGAGGATGGGGCTATAAAACAAGAAGATGAAGAGATGATGGGCGGCAAGAGGATGAAGCTACGCGCAAAGCGTATGCCCGATAAAGAATTACGAAAATCCATTGAAGAGAGTCGCGAGGTAGCGGTGAGTTCCGAAGACGAGGCTGCAAAATGTGATCCCGATAACGCAACGGAGCACGCGGCTAAAGATGGTAGTGATGATCCGAATATTATGCAATCGATGCCGATTGATAAAAAGATCAGGGGTCGTCCTAGAGGTAAACGAAGGCGTGGTTTTCGAGGGGGTGGACGTCCCAATCGACCGAAACTTGCGGAATTTCAGGGCGATCAAACGTCAGAAATATCGCCCGGTGCTCATCCCGATGGGGCTTCTAATGATGCTTTGAATACAACGCAGAAGAGGCGAAAGAAACGTAAGTATATATATGTAAGAACATATATATATATATATATAACAATAACTTATTGAATATGATAAAATATTAGCGTAAAGACCTACTAAAATGGAAAAATCGTTTTTACAGGAAAAATGGTGCTCGGCTTAGAAATAGGTAGAGATATTTCACTGGAAACAGGAACACCAGGACTAGGACAGGATGAGACGCCTGTCAGGCAATCAAGAAGAATAGCACAGCTGAAAATTAAAGAACAAGCAGATAGACGCAGAATCGAGGAGGAAACTATGCGTGACTTGGAAGAGAAAAAAGAATCGGAGAAGAAAAAGAGAAAGAAGCAGAAAGTAAGTTATTAGATGAAAATTTTATAGCTATAGATTGTACAAATAATTGTACATTATACCAATAATATTGTTTTATTTCATGTAGCCGGAAAGTGAAGAGGATTATATAAAAGAGGTTATCATAAAAGAAAATGAAAAGGAGAAGAAATCTAAAAAGAAACGTCGAAAGAGAAAAAAGAAAAAGATGCTAGCCAAATTTAACGAAGCAAATCCATGGCAGAGCTCATCTGGATCTAGCAGTGACGAAGAAAATGAAAACGAAGACGAAGAAGAGGAAGATGAAGATATCGAGAGCGAAGGATCTTTACTGTTTAAAAGTGATCACGAGTTTTCTCCGGAAAGCGATCTCGAAAAAGACCAAGAGTCTGAACCGTTAAGACGTGCTAGAACTGCACAGAAAGGTAAGTTCATCATTAAAAAAGAATGTAATATTTTTATATTTGATCATAATTTCATTGCATTTATTTGTTATTAGCCCAAAGCGACGTTGAAGAAGCTGAGGATGAGTATGCCTGTCAGAAATGTGACAAAGCTGATCATCCCGAATGGATTCTTTTGTGTGATTCTTGCGATAAGGGCTGGCATTGTTCATGCCTCAGGCCAGCTCTTATGCTTATACCTGAAGGCGACTGGCTTTGTCCGCCATGCCAGCATGTAAGTTTGTCTTACTTTGAGAATTAATTGTTTGCACATGAATAAAATATATAAATGTTGCATGTCAATTAATATGTTACTTAATTCCGCATACTTATTTCGCATACGAAATTATCTTTTAAGAATCTGCTGATGACTAAGCTACAGGAAACATTAAAAACACTCGATCAGTTAACAAAGAGACACGAGAACGAAGTACTACGGAAAAAGCGATTGGCTTTTGTCGGCATAAGTCTCGATAACGTGCTTCATAAAGGCGAGACGCAACGCGTATCGAAAGGATCGAAAGCATCCAGTCAGGAATCGGATAACGGTAAATTTTAATGTAGCGATTGATTTAAATTATTTTAAGTGTAATTAAATATA